TAGCCATTTCGAGATTGATATAGATTTTAGAAATAAATCATGCTTTTGTAAGATAGATTTTACCTTGAATTTATGAGATCAAAACAGATTTCGGTTATTAGATCAATTACTTGGATTTAAGTCATTTTGGATATAGAATTATTTTGAAATATCTTATTTAAGTTATTGGATTGTTAGATGTGAATTGGATAAGTTTTGAGCCTTGTGTATTTGTGGGACCCTCTCACGAGTGCACGGCGTTTGTTACTCCTCGGATTGGGTTCTAGGGCGTGACACACATGTTTGGAGTTTATGAGATTAAACATAGGATTGAGTTAAAATATTTATTTATCGACAAAAATACCCCTATTATTCCCATTCAAGTTATTTATTAAAATAGGAAAAACACTAAAATCCTTCAAATTTTTCTTGCAAACTTCAATTTCATTTTCTCCACTCCCAAAAATCTACTGACTTCCTAAATATATTTTTCTTCCATTTTCTCAACCTTTCCAATATTTTCCAGGTTCTTCTTTCCCTCTACAAGCTAAATATTGTCTGAGAAGCAAATCGATAGATCTCAACATGGATAAAAGAGAAAATAAAGATATATATTTTTTCAGATTCACCGAAATGTATGTAAGGAGATGATGACATCAGTTTCGATCGCATGAAATTGAAATTTGAGATCAAAGTGCCTTTTGAGTGAGAAAAAGGAGTGGAATAAAATTGGGTTTTCTATTTTAGGAGAAAAGGAAAAAGAAAGGGATGATTGAAGACTAAGGAAATCAATGATGGAAGAAGAAGAAAGGGATAACATGAGATTTACAAAGAGATCCATGGTGGAAGATAAAATAAACGATCAAAACTTATGAGAACTGAGGAGATCAACAATAGATGATGGAAAATGTATTTTCAAAATTGATGAAACAAAGCAAAGTCAGAATCGACGCTGATTTGCAAGCATCTTGTATATGAGAGGAGAAAATCAACGGGTGAAAAAGAAGGGGTAAAATATGAAATTCAGTCATATCCCACCTAATCCCATGGGGGAGGTGGGATACATTTGATCAAAAGAGGTCAGGATTGGATAAAATGTAGGATGATGCATGTGTCTCATTGCTTCATTCCGCCAAATATGGGAGATAGTAAGATTGGACAAAAACTTTGTCCTATTTTACATTGCATCTGGCGCTCCAAACATGCAGTCAGAGTTTTTCTCCTCATGATCGCACTATATTTTCAAAAATTGAAAGTTGCAGAGAAAATGCAAATTAGTGTTTTGATTTCTTCATGAAATTGAATTCAACAGTAAGAACAATGTGTGTTTGTATCTATTTTTCACTCGTTATAATGCTATGAATTTTTTTAATTTAAAAATATAAATAATCAAGTCCTCTCTATCAAGGAAAGCATAATCATCTTATTTTGAGTGATTTTTGATGTGTTCTGTGTTGATATCTTGGTTCTAGTGGTTTAAATTTACTACAATAAAATCAAGTTTTAGTAGTTTTTGCTGTGTCTGCAAGTTGCAGCAGTGGACAAACTAGCTTTCTTTTTGAATTCCTAAGGTGAATTCAAATGAAATTAATCATTCAAAAAAAAAATTAGATGGAATTAATTGTTGACTTGCATAATTAAACTTATTTCTTGATTTACTTCTATTCATATTTATGGTAGATTTTAATGCATGTATAGAGAAGAGATTGGCTTGTACTAATTTGTGGAATTTTTTGGATTAGGCTTGAAAGTTGAAGTGCAATCTCAATTGTTAAAAAATTAAAATTCTTTTTAGTATGTTGTTTATAATGCTTATAATTATAATTCCTACTCCTTTATATCTAATTGGTTGCAAACTTGCATTATTCTATCCTATTACCACCTTCAAGATTTAAGATATCAAGATGGAGATTGACAACTTAAATGGAATTAACCCAGTTGTAAGTTTTAATTTAGTGAATTTGATTATTTTCTTATCAACTAGTGAATTAGATTATTTTCTTATTAATTAGTGAATATGGTTAATATCTTACAATTTTTCTTGAATTAATCATGTAAATTTTGACTCTTTTGATATAGAACGTGAGTAATGTAGTTGATGTTGATGTATCAATGGTAGATAGTGCTACTGGGTTACACAACAATGATGGTGAAGGTGAGAATCTTGGAAAGAAAAGAAAAGGTATACGAAAAAGGTCAAAGGTATGGCTACACTTCACTGTATTTGATAATCCAGTTACTGGTAAACAAAAAGCAACTTGTAATTATTGTGGAAAGGTGTTATGTGCTGAACTTAGGAGAAATGGTACTTCTACCATGAATAGTCATGTTGAATGTTTTTGAAAAATCCTAGTAATTTAAAGAATAATACACTGTCGAAGTATGTTAGTAAAGTAGATGGAAGTAAAATAGTGATTGATTTAGGGGTTTGGAAGTTTGATGGAAGTGCAATGAAGAGAGCATTGGCTGAACGGTTAATTATTGATGAAGACTCCTTTAGCTTAGTTGAAAAATTAAGTTTTAGGAGGTTTTGTGAAGTAGCATTGCCACCAACATTCAAAATTCCATCAAGGAGAACCATAACTAGAGAATGTTATGATATCTATGTAGAACATAGAATTGCCTTGAAAAATTTTCTTCAAAGAATCGAATCTAAGAGTGACATTAACCATTGGCACTTGGACTAGTTTACAAAGAATCACTTTTATGAGCTTGACTGCTCATTTCATTGATGATAAGTGGAAGTTACATAAGAAAATACTTTGTTTCTGTCCTGTTGATGGCTATAAAGGAGATGAGTTGGGTGATCTTCTAGTTTGATGTTTGAAGGATTGGGAGTTAGAGAAAATTTATACAATAACGGTTGATAGTGCATCAGCAAATGATGGACTTGTGAGAGTTTTAAAAGATGCAATGAACAAATGGGGAACTACTATTTTTGGTGGGAAAGATATTCACATGAGATGTGTAGCCCACATCATAAACTTGGTTGTTGGTGAGGGTACCAAAGAGAAAGAGATGAATAAGTCTATGACTACCATTATTGTTGTAGTCAAGTATGTTAGGCAGAGTCCTATGAGGTTAAAGCGATTTAAGGAGGCTTGTGAGTGGGCAGAAATTCAATCTAAGAAGCTGCTGTGTTTGGACGTCCAAACAAGGTGGAATTCACTTTACTTAATGCTGGACACTGCTGAGAAGTTTGAGGAAGCTTTTGAGAGGTTAGTCCTATTGTATTTTATTTGTATTTTTTGTTTTTTAATAGTTTTTAGTTAGAAATATTAACTATTTATCTAATTGTTGCATTTCCTTTTTTCTTTTTCTTTTTAAGATTTGCTAGACAAGACCTAAACATGAAGAATGAGTTGAACGATGGCCCAAATGCTGTTGGATTCCCATCTTGCATAGATTGGGAAAATGTCAAAAGATTAATTAAGTTTCTACATCATTTTTATGAGTTGACGGGGAAAGTCTCGAGATCCTTGTATATCACCAACAATTTATATTTTCCCTAGCTTAGTGAGGTAATATATTTTCTTTTAGATTAAATCCCCATTTTGGTCCCTGAACTATTGTACGGACCCCCGATTTGGTCCCTGAACTAAAGAAATCCCTAATTTGGTCCTTAAACTATTGTACGGACCCCCAATTTGGTCCCCACTGTTTATAATTTGGCCTAAGTTGGTCCTTTGACTATTGTACGGACCCCTAATTTGATCCTTACTGTTTACAATTTTGCCTCAATTTGGTCCCTGAGCTATTATTTAACAGAAGGACCAAGTTGGGGTTAAATTGATAAACAGTAGGGACCAAATTGGGCATCCGTACAATAGTTTAGGGACTAACTTGGGAGTCAGTACAATAGTTTAGGGATCAACTCAGGGGTCCGTACAATAGTTCAAGGACCAAAATAGGGGTTTAACCTTTCTTTTATCAGTGATACTTCATTTCATTTAAATTATAAGTTATAGAGTTTGCTAAATTATTTTATTTATAGGTTGATCATATACTTAAAAAATGGGAACTGGATGTGGATCTTCATGATATTGCTGGTAAAATGAGGAAAAAGTATAACAAGTATTGGGGGAATCCAAGGGAGATGACTAAAAACATCTTTTTTGCAGTGGTGCTTGATCCAAGGTATAAGATAGACTATTTAGAGTATTTAATATTATTGATCTATGGTCGTGAACTTGATGATGATGACCCCTTTATGTCACCATGGTCAAACATGAGATGGGAATGTTGTTTGAAGAATACAAGAGGTTGAATGGCTCAACTATAAAATCAAGTGATTGTCAACTATTTGATGAACAAGGAAGTGGCTCTACCTCCACTACCAATATCCAAAGTGTGGTAGATCTGAAAAATAGAGTGCAAACGTCCCAATGGTCTTAGTACAAGAAGTTTAAAGCTGCCAACGGTAGAAGAGTAGAAAAAATAGAGTTGGAAAAGTACTTGGAAAAAGATTCCAAGGATGAAGACGAAGCCATTGACGTTCTTCAGTGGTGGAAGATGAATGAGCATAGATTTCCAATGTTAGCAACAATGGCAAGAGATGACTTGGTAGTCCTGATATCTACTGTTGTTTCTAAATTAGCATTCAGTTCTAGTGGTAGGGTTCTTGATGCTTTTTTATCATCGTTGACACCAAGAATGGCACAAGCTCCCATTTGTGCACAAGATTGGTTGAGAGATAAGGCTGATTCTATTTCTAATATGGAGGAGGACTTGGACAAATTGGATAGTTTAGAGAAAGTTAATATATTGTATGTTACATGTTGTTTCTATCAAATTCAATTATTTACCTAATTATACAATTGAGAAAATTTTAACCATGAAACTATGTTTTTTTTTTTAATTGATTTGACAAAGTTTGACAAGCTTCATTTAGATTCCACCATTCTTGAATGAATGGTAGATTTATAAATGGTAAGATACAACGTAAAATTCTAAACAATTTTAAACTATATTAACTTAATGCAATTAAATAATTAAGTTAGCATTGAGGTAAGTTTTTTCAGTTTTTTCTTTTGTTTATTTTTAATTTCAACTAACTAATTTTTATTTTTGTTGATTGTCCTAGATACAAGTGTATACACGTTTTTTTGTCAACTTAAAATCAGAGGTAGGCTGTGGCTTATATTGTGTATAACGCGTTTTTTTGTCTTGTGGTATTGGCTAGACAAGTTTTCTTTTGGGCAAATAGGTTTCTTTTGGACAAACTGAATTTCTTTTGGACAGTTTCAAAGTTAGTGAGAGATGACAATTGGACATAACATGCAACCCATGTTAAGGAAAAATGGTGATTTTCTGAACTTAAATCACTTGGTAGTTGGTATCAATAGTAGATTAGTTTAGCTAATGTTTATGTTACAACTTAGGTTTATTATTTTGTTATTACTCTAAACTATCTTAGTGTTTGAACCACAAAATTTGTATTTAAGTAACAACTTGTGATAAGGTGATGCAATATAGGTACTTGATGAAATATATGATATTTTTAATTCTAATTAGTAGTTTATTATTAATTCTTTTTTTGTTGTTTTATATTTTATTTTTGGACATTATGTGATTAGTTTTCATGTTCTGTTGAAAGTGAATATGTTTATGTTGAGTGCACTGTTTTTTTGTTTCTCTTGGATTGATTGATGGAGTTTTGGTTCAAGTTTTTATATAAAATTGATTTTTTGTTGTTTTATGTTTTATTTTTGAATATTATGTGATTAGTTTCATGTTCTGTTGGAACTGAATATGTTTATGTTGAAGGCATTGTTTTCTTGTTTCTCTTAGATTAATTGATGGAGTTTTGGTTCAAGTTTGGATAGGTAAATTGGTTTTCTATTGTTTTATGTTTTATTTTTGGACATTATGTGATTAGTTTTCATGTTTTGTTGGAAGTGAATATGTTGTGCATTCTTTTCTTATTTCTTTTGGATTGATTGATTGAGTTTTGTTTCAAGTTTGGATAGGTAAATTGGTTTTTTGTTGTTCTATGTTATATTTTTGGACATTATGTGATTAGTTTTCATGTTTTGCTCGAAGTGAATGTTTATGTTGAGTGCATTGGTTTTTTTATGGAGACAGGTCGTTGATGCACTATTCAATGTTGTATCAACATCACCAACAAAAGCAGTTGCAGTAGTTGTTCTTCAGGTCCAAATTTTGTTCAACTTGTAAAAAAATGGTTTTGTTTTGTTTATGGTTGCTAACCTGTAACAATAAGTCTATGCTAAAAGGCAATGCTAATCTTATGAGTAGGGTATTATCAAAGCATATGGCCTAATTAAATATTTAACTGTTGTTTCATTGCCTTTATTGCTATAGATAAATTGGTTTTTAATTTACTAAGTTCTAAATATATTTTATTGTTATTAATGTTTTGTTCCTCTTTTGAGAATGTGTTTCTTGTATAGTTGTATGGCATTTTACAACCTTTCTCAATTCTCAATAATTCATGCTATGATATTTTATTGCTATTTGAATGCAAAAGTGAATGGTTCAAAGTATGGCTTGCAAGTTTATGGTTAATGTTTGAAATTTTAGAATTGTTTTATTCATTTTTGTATGTATTAGATCTGCCACCTCCTTTTCTCATAGCTAAATTGTCATTTGTTTTGCAATCTTGTTTAAAATTTTTTCTTTTAATGGAAAAGTCTTGCTTAGATTTTAAAATGAGGTTTCGTTAATTTTGCATGGTCTAGAATTATCTGGTATTGAGTCTGTTGATAGCCTTGAAGTCGAGATAAATCCTCTTTGATGAGTAATGTGTTGCTGAAATCAGGATAAAATTGAACCACTTTTGATGCCTTTTTTGGACTTGTGAAATGAGATGATTTATTGGCTTTGTCGCTTTGGATATTTGGTCCAAATAATTTGGATCATAAAATTAAAGAAAATAGATCACAAATGGTTCAAATAATTTGGATAATAAAATGAAAGGAAATGGGTCACAAATCATTCATTGGATATTTGAGCCACAAAATGGAAGGCCCGAACCCAAAATAGTAGCCAAAGTTAGAATTAGTTAAAACCGAAATCGATGTCAACCAAATTGACAAATTGATTGCCAAAACCAAAAAACCGAAGTGTTATTTGAATTGATTTTTGGTTGTTATCTCACAAAATATTCAATCGATTAAAACCATTAATTGAGGTTTGGTTCCAATCGAACCGAACCGATGCCCACCCCTAGTCGTAGTTACAGTTGATAAGTGTTCCACCGTTGTTACACCTGGCCTTAGCACATCCCAAACGGAGTGACTTGCGCCACACCACCTGAGTGTAATGCCCACAAACTTTATCGGCGGCGCAACTATTGGATTGGTAGTCATAATCAGCCTTCTTATTAACCCACATTTGGACAGCAACCATGCTAGTCAGGTCACCGTTGCTCCACGCAAGGTTCTTGCCATAAGGTCCACCAGAGTGCACCATTTTGTAGTCATTGATGTGCTTGTTAAGGTAGTTTTGTGCATATGTAGCCAAAGTGGGGTCCCAAGTCATGGGGCCAACACCTACGGCAACACGAGATGAGTTGTGTGCATTGATCAAGTTTTGTGGAGAGAGCTGGGCATGGGAGGGGAGGATATGGGCTAGGACCAGGAGACAAGCAAGAGCTAGGGAAACCTTAGAAATATCCATTATGGTTTGAATACAAAGGAATTAGTGCTGAAAATATTTGAATTGGGTACGAGAAGTGGATAAATTGAAGCGTATTTATAATGTTCCGATGTGGAAAATTATAACCTAGTAAGCCAGTCAAGTACGTTCTTTCGTGGAAAATTGTGGATTAAAACTAATAGAAACAAGCTGCTCAGTGGATTTGAAAATTTCACTTTGCAAAATTGCTATTGGAGCCTTTTTTTAATGGGTCATATAGACAAATTATGTTGTAACATTTGAAATATCTCTTGTATTTTCATAATAAAATTATTTTTTATTAATAAAAATAATAAAAGATGACTAATTTTATTTATTTATAAATAAAAACCTTCATAAATAAATCTTAAGATTAAATTTACTTTTACAAAAGTGTCATGCCAAGTTCAAGCTTGAAGTTTTAAGGAAATTTGTGAGAGTCTTGCTTTAAAATTGCAAAAAGATTGGGGAGATTTGGCATGAAAAACATTTGACTGTTAAAAATTAAGTCTAGATGAACAACAGTCATGTGACGCATGTGTTGAATTTGGAAAGTTAAATTTTAAATTTCTCCATCTTTATCTCTTTTTGTTAGTTAAATATTTTATTGGTTTCTCCATTATCCTTTTCTGTTATTTAAATATGTATCCTACTTTTATCCCACCATGTATGGGAAGTTTGTTGTACTCCTCTATATATATGTATTTATTTAATGGAAAAGCACAACTCAAGTCATTGAGTTCTTACTCATTTTACATGATATCAGAGTAGTGCTAAGTTTAAATCCATTCATTCATGGCTAAAGAAAGCACAAATCCTTTTGTTGTTGAAAACTACAACAATCCATACTATCTACATCCTTCTGATAATCTTGGAAATGTTCTTGTATCCAATATTTTTATCGATGACAAGTATTCAACATGGCACCGTGCAATGAAGGCAGCCCTCACCACAAGAACAAGCTAGGATTGGTGGATGGTACACTTAAACAACCAATTGCCAATTCAAAAAATTTTCAGTCTTGGATGAGATGCAATACAATGGTAATTTCTTGGTTACTTAATTCTATTAGCAAGGACATCAGTGACAATATTATTTGTTCAGACACAGCAAGTACCATTTGGAAGGAATTGGATGAACGACTCTCTCAAGGTAATGTTGCCAAAATTTATCAACTAAATAGAGATGTCATTCTATGTTGCTAAGAACATTCTTCTATTGCTGCATATTTTAACAAATTGAAGGGACTCTGGGACTCTAGGATGAGTTATCATCTTATGTTATTTTACCTGAATGCACTTGTGGAGCATCAAAGTCTATTTCAAATATCCAATAATAGGAGAAGTTGATGCAGTTCTTAATGGGTCTTAATGATACCTACGCCTCAATTCATTCCCAAATTCTACTGATGGATCCTTTGCCTACTACAAACAAAGCTTAGTCTATGTTACTTTAGGAAGAGAAGCATCGAGATCTTCATCTGACACTAACAAATGATAATATTCTTGCTGCTGCAGCAAAACAACTAATTTTGTTGCAAATCTTGCTGATAAGCCTTTTTGTCAAAACACTTCATGGATCATTGACATAGGGGCAACCAATCGTATTGCTTTCTCTACTATTTGCATGAAGATTTTTTTCCCTTCACCTCACATATCACCTATTCAATTACCTACTAGTGAGGTTGTTCCAATCACCCATATTGGTGAAGTTGAAATATCCCCTTCTCTTCAGCTAAAAAACGTGATTGTGTTCCTTCTTTTAAATACAATCTTTTATCAATTAGTGCCTTAACTTCTGACTTTAATTATTGTGTCATTTTCACACCTAAATATTGTTTTTTTTAAGACCTTCAGACTTGGAGGACGATTTGAGTAGCTAGGCATGAAGGTGATCTTTACATCCTTTCTTCACAACCATATGTTTGTTTAGCTATCAACTCCACATCTACTTCAAATCTATGGCATTTTCAGTTGGGGCATCCTTCCCAATCACGTTTTGATTTTCTTTCCAAAATAAATAAAGAGATTCCTACATCTCCTCCATGTTTGCGTGATGTTTGTCCTATGGCAAAACAATGTCGTCCTCCTTTTAATTCTAGTTCTATTGTTAGTACTTTAGTTTTTGAATTAATTCATTGTGATATTTGGGGTCTGTATGTTGTTCCTACCATGACCAATGCTCAATATTTTTTAACTATTGTTGATGATTATAGTCGTTGCACTTGGGTTTATTTGTTGCGTTTTAAGTCTGAAGCTTCTAAGTTTCTTAAGAATTTTTTGCTATGGTTCAGAATCAATTTCAAGTTTCTGTTAAATAAATACGCACTGATAATGCTCTAGAATTTTTTCACACAGACTTTCAATCTTATTTAGATGAAAAGGGAATTTCGCATCAACACAGTTGTGTATATACCCCACAGCAAAATGGTGTTGTTGAGTGCAAACAAAGACATATTCTAGAGGTAGCTCGCGCCCTTTGTTTCTAAGCAAATATGCCAACTAAATTTTGGGGGGAATGTCTCCTTATAGCTATCTATCTAATTAATAGATTGCCTTCTCCAATTTTTCAAAACAAAAGTCCATGTGAAAAGCTATATCAATCTCCTCATTATAAACATTTGAGAGTTTTTGGTTGCTTACGTTTTGCTCATAACATTCATCACAAAATAAATTTGATGCTAAGGCTCGCAGATGCGTATTTCTTGGTTACCTTTATGGTCAAAAGGCCTATAAGCTTTTTGATCTTGATTCCAATCTTATTTTCACTAGTAGGGATGTAATATTTTATGAAAATCATTTTCCCTACAAGATGTTGACAACCATAAACTTAACAATGAAAAACATTATTAAGTGTGAAATATATAAGAAAAGGAGTCATCACTCATCCAAATTATAAGGTGGGACAAGTCACCTAAAAACAAATCTACACAAAGATCGAGGTTTGGTTAGGAGTGAAGAAGGGTATACGCACACCTCACACCTCACAATCCTCCATTTAAACATGGTTGCATACTTTAAGGCTTAATTTAAGAAATCATCTATTAACTATTACTCTTTTTTCATTTTAGTCTAGAATCTTTGTTTTCTTTCAAGCTCATCTACTAACTTTTAAAATTGTTTCATTTTCATCTACCACTATGCAACTCCGTTAACTACATTAACAGTGTGTGGTGACATGAAAGCCACTGTGTGGCCCACTTAAGCTAACATGTGGCCTAAAAAATGGGAGGGAAATATTCTCACTTCCTTATTTAAGGTTAATTTAAAAAATGAGTAGTAATATAGGGATAATTTTTTTATATAATTTTATATGCCATTAAATAAATAAATGTATTTAATATAACAAGTTATAAATGAATAAAAAAAAGTCAATAATTTAAATAACATATAAAATTGTACAAAAAAATAGTATAAAATTTTTTTTGAATTTTTTTGTAAAATTAATTAATTGTAATGTAAAAAATTAAAACCATTAACTGAACTTAACATAAGAATTTAAACAAAAAAAAAAAAACTATAAAGTTTCAAACTAAACCAAACTTATTAAAAAATATTTAGAAATAATTTTTTATATTATAATTAATTAATTTTTTTTAAAAATAATTCAAAAATAATTTTTTATATTATTTTTTATGCAATTTTATATGTTATTTAAATGATTAACTTTTTTTTATTCATTTGTAACCTATAATATTGCGTACATTTATTTATTTAATAACATATAAAAATTATATAAAAAAGTATACAAAAAAAATATAAAAAATTGTCTCTATATTACTACTAATTTTTTAAATTAAGCATTTAACCTTAAATGAGGTAGTGAGAATATTTCCCTCCCATTTTTTAGGCCACATGTTAGCTTGAGTGGGCCACGCTATGGCTTTCATGGCACCAGACAATTAGAATTGGAAAGTTCTGTCAATTTAATTAACAGAGTTGCATAGGGGTAAATGAAAATGAAACAATTTTGAAAGTTAGTAGATGAGTTTGAAAGAAAACAAAGATTCTAGACTAAAATGAAAAAAAGTAATAGTTAATAGATGACTTTTTAAATTAAGCCTATACTTTAACATTGGGGTTTTAATTCAACTTATTTATTATATTTATGTTTAAGTCTTAATAGGCAAACTTAAAAAAAGGATAACCCAAATTGAAACATTTTTAAAATTTTTGGACTACAATGGAGGAAATCAAACCAATGCATGCACCATAGGCACAAATAAAAATTAAAGGGGTTAATTTGATTAAATTTGAAACATAGAGGATTGATTTGATTAAATTCAAAATGTGGAGGATTGATTTGAAAAGAGTTGAGACCCGTGGACTAAATTGCTTAATTATAAAAGTTTTGGGTGAAATTGAAATGAAGATAATTTTGACTTTGACTAATGTTAAAGGAAATTAAGGATTTAAATTAATTAATTATGATGATTAATTAATTAATTAAATGATTAATTTAACATTAATTAAAATTAATTAATCACATTATTAATCTTTAATTAAGATAATTAAGTAATATAATTATCTTAAATTAAGATCAATAATATGATCAATTTATTTTAATTAAAGTTAATTAATTTTATTAATCATAAATTAAGTCAATTATCTTAATTAATTAATTTGTTTTATTTATATTATATATTTTTTTACCTTTTTTATTTTTAATTTTTTTGTTTGTTTTAGTTTTTGATTTTCTTTTTTACTAGATTAAATCATATTGAGCCGACCCAAAAAACACGATCCGAGCATAAAAATAGACAAATATAAGATCAAGCATGCAAACAAAGCAGGAAAACTAGGATTCATCTAATTTAAATAATTTTCTGCAGAACATGCATTTGAATTCAAATCCAATAAATATCCATTGCATAATAACAAATTTGTCATTCATTTCTCAACATTTTACATGTAAATCTTAGTGCCCATCACTAACGTACTGTTTGGATTGAGGGAGACCAATGGAGAAGGATGGGGAGTGAAGGGGACGGATGGTAATTGAAGGAGGGGAGGCTAACTCCTCCCTTATGTTTGGATAAGTAAAGAGCAGGAAGGGGAAGGAGATGGAGGAGGTTTGGATCCCCTCAACAATCCCCCACAACTGCAAATTTCCAATCCCCCCAATTTGGGGGGTTTGGGATGTATTTGGCGAAGGCTCAGATTTTTCCAACAAAAATTACCGCAATATCCTCGTTACTCTTATTATTTAACATCCTCTGGTTCTTCTTCTACCTGGTTATCAACATCAGCAGCAACTAAATTCAAGGTAAGGATACCACCGACTCAACTTCAATTTTGATTATTTTTTAGCTTTCACCATTCTCTCACCGGCTTCGACCATTTTTAATTTGCAGTATAGCATCCGAAATTGAAAATGAAGTTGAATTAGAAAATGGAATTGCTAGCATTCTAGCTCGCTCTTGCTAGCATTCTAGCTCGCTCTTGCTTTCGCTCTCTCTTTTGAAAATGAAAACAAGGAATTAGCTATTTTGATTCACAGGTATTTATCTCATTTTTGTTTCCTATTTTCAATTATGTTTCCCTTTAACTTCCTCTATGACAGTTGATTAGAAAATGCTATTTTGTTTCATATTCACCGTTTAACTTTGTGATCCTTCCATGTTTTCTATGTGATTGGATTGTGTTTTGGCGTCACAGTATTCTATACACCTAAAGCTTTCCAATGCACACCTATTGTTTGACGAAATGCATGAGTGAACTGGGTGCTTAGAGAGAGAAAAGAAAATGATGAAATTGCCATTTTGTCTATGTCGACAATTTAGCAGCTTTCGAAATTACACAATTACAACAAGCCTACATTTAAAATGTATAACATTCCTCCTCCCAAGCCACAGGGTGGAGGGCTATGTTTTGCTTGATTTATTTGGAAATTAAGTTTTTTTTTTTTTTACCATTCTTAATGTTTCTGAAAAAAATATCATAAATAAATATCATCACAAACCATTAATCAAGCAAAACCAAAGCACATTGATTTACTTGATTTGCTTGATTTTTTACATTTATTTGCTTGATTTACTTGATTTTCTGTTTGAATGTTGATTTGTATCTCATAAATAAATATCATCACAAACCATTAATTTCAGAGACAGCTAGCAAAAGCAGTGGACGTCTTCCCCATTTATTTGCTAAGAGCACTCGGTAGCTAGAATTTGTTTTGACATAGCAGTAGCCTTCAACATTGATCCAGGTGATTCTAATCTAAAAACTAATACCTTATATTTGTATATTGAAATGCCTTATATTTATATTTGTACATTGAGACTTTGATTATTATTTCACTTTTTAGTTATACAATTGAATTTAAAATATATCATCACATAGAATTTTAATTTGTATTTTATAAATATAGATGGATGCCATGAGAGACATGCGTAGGAAGGCCATTGCTCATGTAATATGCTTAGTTGTTTATTGGTGGTTTCTTCGAAGTCAACCAAAAAGGAAGCTTCTTGATGATAACATAATTAATGAGAGAGAACGAGTTCGAGATGAAATAATGAACAAAATTGTGGGGAGTGATAGAAGCCGTTATGTCACGCCCCAAAACCCAATTTTGAGACGCGACAGACGCCATACACTCGTGAGACGGGTCCCACAAGTGCACAAGGCTCGAAACTTATCAAATTCACACTCTGATACCATCAAAATCTGAAAATCAAATTATAAAATCTCTCTGATATCATAAAATCTCCTAATACAAGATCATGATTTATTTCTAAAATTTATATCCAATTACAATAAGGCTAGCCTTCTAACTCCTCACTTCCCGTGGTTTCCCCGTCCTCGGTTTCACATCCTAAAATGGTGGACAAGGAAAAACTATGAGATAAACTCAGTAAGTAAATATGGAGTGCCCCTTATCAAACTTAAAGCATGCCAACACGTACAGTCACGAAAACAGATACAGTACGGGCATGAAATAGACGTCTCCTCTATAGGTCACGGCCAGTGTTTATAAACCTCCCACTGGCGGGCACACGATTTGCTGGTGTATAACCCCCACTAGCAGGGTTGAACGAACCGGCTCTTTCACTAACATGTCGACATGTGCTAGCGTTTATAAACCTCCCACTAGCGGGCACACGAGTAACATGACCATATCGGAGACAAAACAGGCAAAAGTTAACAGGAAAATCACGATTCACAATCACTTTCAAATCATCAGGATAGTCATTTAAACTTTCAAATAGGCATGCTCAATTTAATGAAAAGCATAAAACATTTCACTTCAAATTAGTCATGCTCGTGCAAAACGGGTTTAGTCCCGCCACCACTTCAAAAACAAATCAAAACATGCTTTTAAAAACAGTACGGGCATTACCATAAATTTACTTACCTCACTTGCATAAAACTGAGAATTCACTCCATAAAATCGAGCACTCAATCTCAGTGCTAACTGACAGAACGATCAAGAACCTAATCAAGATATTTCAAGAATTAATACCACAATCACAAATTCAAGCTGAAATCATCATTAGGATCATTCCTAATCACAATGCTATTTCTATCACTTTCCACATAATCGGGCATCTCCAAATTCGTTCTCATATCACAAACTAATCACTTAAATTCCCGTTAAATGTTGGCCCTCGGGGTGTGAACAGTGTCGGTGAACAGTACCCGTGAACAGTACCCGACGTGAACAGTAACTCCACCCCCACAAATTGGCCAAAACACTAGCTAATCTCACGGGATTTTCTCCAAAAATCACATAGCAGTCCATTAACACTCAATCATATAAATTCCACTTGAATCAAGCTAAATCATGGTCTTAAAGCTATCAATTTTCTCCCCTAATTAATCTAGAATTTCGGACACAAAGGGCAGCAATTAAATGGCTAAAATCTGCACTTAAAGAAGCTGCCACATACCAGAATTTGCAGCTAGCAGAACCGGGCCTAGCAGGGGGGAGAAGCTGGCGGCAAGTGCAGGGGAGAAACTCACGGGAACTACCCAAAATTGAAGGAACAAGAGTAATTAAAGTAAACCCATGGCAATTCAAAGCTAGAGAAGGGAGAATTCGAGCTATTTCTTACCAAAAAACCAAGCCAATTCGCCCCCACAAGGCAAGAGCAGCCGGTGGTGAAGAAGCAGAGCAAGGCAGATCCGGCTTTTCCAGCAAGGGGAAAGAATTTCTGGGTTCAAGAACAAGAAAAGGAGGAGAAATCCAAGCTTTCTCACCGGTTTCTCAAGGCTGGGGCCGGCGGCTTGCTTGGTTCCTTCTTTTTTTTTTCTCTCTCGGGTGCAGGGGGTCGAGAAGAGCAGAACATGCGGGCTGGAGAAGAAAGAAAGAAGGAAAAAAAGAGAAAAAGAAAAGAAGTCATCCTTATCCAAAATCTTTCCCTCTTTAAGTCCCTCAACTTTCAGAATATTCACATTAGGCCCCAAAACAATCTTTTCTCACACAAAAACCCTTACTTAAATGCTAAAATAGCACAAAATTTTGGGGTATTACACGTTATATCATAGGGATGGGTCTTAGAGCTTTTTAACAATTCTGTGACATACTTGAAAGGGAGGGAGGTCTCTAACCCACAAGGAGAGCAACTATTGAGGAACAAGTAGCTAAAACTCTTTATATTCTAGCTAAGAATGCCAAAAACCGTTCAATCCAATTTTGGTTTCGACGTTCTGGAGAAACTATTAGTCGACATTTTCATAGTGTGTTGAGAGCTATAATAGTAGTTGAAGAAAAATTTATTAAACAACCAGATGGTTCACAAATCCTTGTAGAGATAATGTCAAGTAGTAGATTCTACCTATACTTTAAGGATTGTGTAGGTGCAATTGATGGAACACACATTCGTGTAAAAGTCTCACCCTTAGATGCCTCTAAATATCATGGTAGAAAAGAGTATCCAACCCAAAATGTCTTAGCTGCCTGTACATTTGACTTAAAGTTCACCTATGTGTTAGCAGGATGGAAAGGGACTGCCTTAGATTCTAGAATTATTTAGGATGCATTAAAGAGAAAAGATAAGCTTATCATTCCAAAGGGAAAATTTTACCTTGTTGATGCTGGGTATATGCTGAAAAGTGGCCTTATAACTCCTTATAGAAGAGTTCACTACCATCTCAAAGAATATTCAAATAATCCTCCTCAAAATGCTAAAAAATTATTTAATCTTAGGCATGCAACCTTACGTAATGCTATTGAAAGAGCACTTGGTGTTTTGAAAAGAAGATTTGAGATTTTAAGGGGTGGAACAGAATAATTCTATGGAGTGAGAACTCAAAATTTAATTATTTTAGCTTGTTGCATTATTCACAATTTCTTAATGGGTGTGGATCCTGATGAAGAGCTTATAGCTAAGGTAGATATGGAATTGAGAAATCAAGAAAATTTGCAACAAACTCGTACTTCAAGAGAGGAAGAAGAAGATGCCAGCAGGGGGGAAATGTTGAGAGATGTTATTGCTGCTGATATGTGGCACAATTACAAAAATTGTTAGTTTACTTTTTGGTTTTTTAGATTTTCCTTTTTGTAATTTTTTTTTTGTTCTTTTGACTTGAATTAATATTTTTGTTCTTGAATTATTTACTTTTATTTTTTAATGTTATAAATAATACATGTTCTTTATTATAAATTTTTACTGAATAAAGTTATTTAATAACTTCTTTTATTTAGGTATGGGTGGGAAGAAGAAAAATAGTAATATTGAAAATGCAAGTGAAGAAGGCAAATTAGTATGGACACCTATAATGGATGAGGCTCTTATAGATGCTTTCCTACATCAATATAATTTGGGTAATAGGGTAAATGGTTCCTTTACCACCAGAGCATATGAAAATATTGTTAATGAATTGAAAGAAAAACTTGGGAAGGAGGTTGACAAAGATAAAGTTAAAAATTGCATGAAAACTTTAAAGGCAAACCTTTCAAAATCCTATGATTTATTCAAAAACCTTAGTGGTTTTTCATGGAGCCCTGTTACATAGCTATGGAGTGCCGAGCTTGAAGTTTGGGATGCATTAATAAAGGTACAATTTTAATTTAAATTTCTTTGCTATGATTTTGCTTGACTTAAATTAATTACTTTTATTTTAAAATGTTGATGATTTGTAGGTTAATAATAATGCTAAAGAGTGGATGAAAAAACTGGTGTTGCATTATGATACATTTGTGATACTATTTGGAAATGATAGAGCTACAGGTGAAAAGTCAGAGATTGCAAGAGAATTAAAGAAAAAACAATCATCCCAACATGATAATGAGCCTCACAATACCATTGAGGAAATCGATCATATGGTGTCACAGAATCAGGTATCTTTGGATGGTTTTGGAACTAATGATGTTGATTTTGATCCTTTAACATGTCTTGGAGGTCCTTCAAATGTGCCAACTAGCTCAAAATAAAAAAAAAAAATAAAGAAGTCACAAGAAATTGAAAATGAAGCAATGGGCATTCAAGAAGCTATCAACAATGTAGCTCGAGCTCTATCTGAAGGGAATTCAAGTCCTTCACTTTCAAAGGCTGAAGTTTGGAATATGTTGGAGGATTTAGGACTTAACTCATATCAAATTACCACTGCTAATTTATATCTGCTTGAGCATTCAGATAAATTAAGAGTAGTACTAGGATGTCCACCTAGGAGACGCCTGGATATTGTTATGAAGGTTGTTTTTGGTACTTCTTAATCATCAAGTTCTTGGGCACAATCCATAGCTTTATTTTTTAAATTTGACTAATCTAATTTGGATCAATTGGAATTTATGTTTGAATAATTTTTTGGGGTTTGATTTTTATTAGTTATTTTATTTTATTGTTTATTGGTATCATTGAAACTATATTGTAATAAAATTATTTGCTTTTTATTTTTTATTTTTAGAATCATTTTTACTGATTGTTTCATTTAATATTTATTTGTTAAATTTTTAATTTTATGTTTTTTTAATCAATAATTTTTTCCTTTAATTTGCATTTATAGTTTTTTAATTCAAAGTCATATCATGACCCAAAAAAAAAAATATGGCAAGCTATTGGGCTTCTCTCATGCTTTGTTTCGGTAGATAATGGAGTGATTTAATAAATTGAACAAATGGCAGCAAGCAAAACGAATATGCAATCCCATTACAAGCTTAAAGGATAAATTTATAAATTTAAAATCAATTTAAATCATTCCCTTCCTTTCCTTTCTTCTACCTTAATTATCTAAATATAAAATAAT